TAATTAGGAGTTTTAACAGAATATCAAATATAAGAAATTATTATATAGTTGCTTAATGTATACGCCGCCCTGTAAAATATGAATTCATGTTGATAGAGATAATATAAAAATCAGGTATACATTGGATTCTACGTGTATAACTATTATGTATAAAAGTCACTATCGGTAACTAACAGATAAAGTATTGTCTCGTTTTTATACGCACAATTATTCGTATTGTATCACAATCATTGTTTCACTCACATATGTGTTTCATAAGTGATGTAAATTATCATCAAATTAATACGTTAATAATGATCAAATATTAATAGGAAGTATTATAATGTAAAGAGATTGTAAGATATCTGTATAATAATCATATGAATAAATATGAACCTGCACATAATTTAACTTCAACAATAGTATTTCGCATATTATAATATCCCGGGGTTATTATTCCACAAAGTACGGGTATAACATAATACAAAAAATCTTAATTTGAAAATATTTAAAATTTTTTACGCCACATAACATGGCACCAGATGAGCTAGATTACTATTACCGAATTTTTATTAATTAATATTGTGGCTTATAAATCAATATGTTCCAGCTAACCATTTTACTTTTTCTTTCAGAGACAAGGCCAATGCTCTTTACATAAATTTATATACTTAATTGTTTACTATATCATGAGACTCTCTTATATTCTTATATAAGCAATAACCAAAAAATTTCAATGTAATAACTATCTATTAATGCACTTCATTCTTATAGCACATTGTTTCTTAGAATAACAAACCTTTCGCCGCCACACTGACCAGTAAAGCATAATAGAACATTCTTGAGAATTATTTATTAAATTTTATATGACATCTTAGTTCAAAAGTTGCTCGCAAAAAGACACCATAATAACTTCTTAAAAGGGACATCTGGACCATGAAGAAGGCACCAAAAAACTTTATCCTATTATAGTAATTGATACTGAAAACCGAAAGTGTGAATCTTTTTTTTTACGCGTTTTTTTTTTTATATAAAGGCTACAACCTTTTAACGCTTTTACAAAAGTATAATCGAGTAATTTCAGATATTCGTCTCGAGCAATCACGATATACCGGTACATATTTTTTTCTTGTGCTATGTTAGTGCTTTTATGCAGTTGTCACTCAATACCCCGAAAGCTATTTCCCCTACAGGCAACTTATCTGACATCGCATAAGATTAAGGTTAGCATTTGATTAGTTGTAGGTATTACATTTTTGGCAAATTGTCATGTGATGTCGACTAGGGAAATAACTTTCGGGGAATCGTAGCGTAACCCAATAAAAAAACATCGAATCTTTAGTATATTCATGATTTCAAAAACTTTGCAATATATTTAAACAGCGAAAACATTAAAGAAGATTCAATTCTCGGACGCCCTTCGACTTATCTATAAAAAACTTTGCAATCTATTTAAACAGCGAAAGTATAAAAAAAAGTTCCAATTATTGGGTACTAATAAAATGAAACCAAGTAAGCTACTAATAATATATATATATATATATATTTACTCGTATAAACATATTAACTTGTATTTAAAAGATTATAGCATAAGAAATTATGATTACTCACAGTATAGCGACTTTCAGCCCATAGAAAGGGGTGGTTTTGCGATTGTGTATTCGGCAGTTTTCCAAGGAAAGAAATACGCATTAAAATGTTTTAATAATAATTTACATTCAGGTGATAAAACTATAATATGCGAGGTAAATTACAATTAATTTTGTTGAATTTGGTTTTTATCTATATAAGCTAAACTATGTGTAACGTATAGCTTAAACATCTTCTTGAAGTTGATCATCCCAATATTATTAAATTCTATGGGTTTACAAAAGGTATCATTTTGAATATAATTAATATATAGTCGACCTTCGGTATGACTGGTAACCAAATTTGATATGAACTATAAATCCTGCACACTTCATTGCAGGGCATTTCTGAAATCTGTGCCAGGCTATGTCGATCACCGAATCGAAAAGCATTAAGCACAGATTTTAATTTACTTTATATATGTATACTCATATAAGTAAAATTTCGTGCTGAAAAATCGTAAATAACTCAAGATTTTACTATGATAACCGTAGTTTGACTTCTAAACAAAAGTTTTCAGCACGAAATTTTACTTATATGAGTATACATAAATATCAAATATAAAGTAAATTAAAATCTGTGCTTAATGCTTTTCGATTCGGTGATCGACATAGCCTGGCACAGATTTCAGAAGTGCCATTGCAGGTACTCTGCATAGATCCTGCCCACCAAAATTGTCATAGCAGATTTTCAATTGTGACCGGCTAAAAGCGGTTCTCAAAAAATTTATTCAAATTTAATAAATTCTGGCAGTGTTCCGCAGAACCGAACCAAAGACTCGGAATCGATCCCGGTTCGGTCCGGGTTCATGATTTCTAGAAAAACTCGATTCTGGATTTCATAGTTGGACTCGAACCGAAACCAAATAACGCACATTGATTGGCTGTCTCTCGGAAGTTTTTCCAATTTCGGATCTTATTTGGACTCGATCCGATTTCTTCGGTTCAGGTTCTGATCTTTGAATCCACCCAGAACCGGTCCGTGCGGACACAAATTTCTGGGCTAATTTCGTTGTTAGGTATATTTCCTAAAATTTTTATTTTTGAAATGAAAAATTCCAGTAAAAATTTATCTGCTTTTGATAAAATTGGTGCGGCAGCTAGGTTCAATTATTTAATATATAAATAATTTTTTAAAAAAATAAGCGTAATTGCAAATATTTGAGTGATTATATCGAGACTCGACTATATAAGTAGGATTTATTTTAATATTATTAACTGTATTAATTAATTTAGACCCACAAACAGGTAATATAATGTTGATATTACAATTTGCAAATGGTGGAAATCTAAGGGATTATTTGAAAAGAAAATGGCAACAAAATAGGTTTAAATTTGAATGGAAAAAGCTTATTAAATGTGCAAAAGAGTTAACTCGTGGATTGGAATATTTACATGAAAAAGGGATAATTCATTGTGATCTGGTATGCTTTGGTTTTTATACAGCTGTATATTATATAATTGTAGAGATCTAATAATTTAATTTTTTTCTGCCCTGTAGCATTCCAAAAATATTTTAATAAATAATGATAATATATTGATCGCAGATTTTGGTGCATCAAAGCATGTAAATGATGCATTTACGACTTCAACTTTTCAAGGAATGCCAGCTTATATTGACCCGCAATTTTTTAAGCTCGGAAAAGCCAAATACAATGATAAATTAGACATTTATAGTTTAGGTGTGTTACTTTGGGAACTTACAAGTGGTATACCTCCATTTAATAATTTGTCTAACGCTTGCATAATTTTGGAAATTATAAACTATAAAAGAGAAAAAGTGGTTCCTGGCACACCCATAGATTATTCTGAACTTTATAAAAGCTGTTGGTCTTCTGATCCAAATAAACGTCCAACGTTAGACAAAATTTTAACTGAGCTTGCTAGGTTATCAGTAGAAATATCTGTTGAATTTATTGAAAATTCACACTCTTAAAGATATATTCAATAATACTATATGCGTAAAAATTTTTAGTTAGAGATTTTAAGAATTTAAGAATTTATTAAAAATTTATATTTTAAAAATTTAAGAATCTGCTTTTTACAAATTGGTTTTATAGCTATGCGATTTATAGATAAATTTTTAAAAAATTGAATTTGTATATATATATATATTTTAATTTCAGGTTTAAAAATTTTGAGATTTGTTTTAAATTTCAAAGTCTGTATTTTAGTTATTTTGTAATTATAAAGTAAAAAAATACAGACAATATATAATTATATTAAATAAATTTATCTTAAATTTTGCTAGACAAATTTAATGTGATATTCTTAAGAGAAACATTAACCGTGTCATAAATTTTATAAATTATATTACATTATATGACTGAGGCTGTAGGCTACGTGGGCTAGATAATAAGTCTTGTCAGTAGATTAATATCTTGATCAATTTTAAAGATACAATTTTAAATTATATATATATAAATATAGTAGTTATGATCTAAATTTTTAATTGTCTGGAACGTAGCAACAGACCATTAGTGTACTGTAAATTCTCGAAATAGCGGGCAGGGGCGTTATTTCAAAATCGCGCTCCCTAAAAATAGTTTCAAAATAACACCCATGCGCGTCCCGAAATAGTGCGCACCTCGAAGAACAAGTATCAGGTAAATATCAGAATACAAAACTCCCAATATGCACCCGACTTACTGCTAAATACAGCATATCAAAAGTCTTGTAACTGATATTTACCTGATACTTATTCATTCGATCTGTTTATAACATTAGTAATAATCGGATTTCAGAATTAATACTTTATCTCCCATGGGCGTATTCGAAATAACGCGCAGATGCCCGCTATTTCAAGAATTTACGATACATGCAAAGTGATATAAAAGTTACATTTTAGATGCATTTGACCAAAAATAGGTACGTACAATACGTACAGTACCTTTTTGATGCATCCGCATAAAATGGAGATCACAATTTGGAAATTTTTGTCTGTCCGCACGCGTAACTAAGACATGCATATTCACGCGTTTGTGTAATAAGATGCGCTCCAGAAACACAATGCTACCATTTTCCTAGTTTTATATTGTAGTGTTGTCAATCTGGATGATGGATAGTCATCCGCGCTTAAAAACAGCTATTTGGATAGGATACCCGTATCCATCCGGATATCCGTTGATAAATATCCGTGCTCAATAATGGCCATCCAGATATCCGTAAATATTATGGATATCCGGATAATAGCCAATTAGAATGCGTTGACCATTTTATTCTTATTACTGTATATTCAATTTAGCATGCATATTTATTTAAAGAAATAGAGGTTTGTGAGTTTGACACTACTGTATTATAGCAATGGGATATATAATTTAGACCAATCTAAATTAAGCAAACATATGGTTTTCAAACCCAAACTAAGTCGCAACCCTAGACAATTAATTTGGACTATTTTAAATTTTCTCTAATTTCGGATCTCATTTCATTAAGAAACTTGCTGATTTCGTCTTTAGTTGTTTTTTTTAGTTTCTCGCAAATTTCTTGAACAATACTTTCGCATATATTTTTGATATTAAAATTTACATCAACTAGTATAGAAATAATATTTATTTATATATGCTTGCTATTGAAACAATACAGTATATGAAGTAGATTCAAAATTACCTTTTTCGTCTTTTTCACCAACTTTTTCAAGCCTATTATCAACTTTTTCGGATGTATCTTCTAATTTATCATCGTCACCTTTATATTGTTCATCACCATCTTCTTTATATTTTCATTATTATACACAAATTTAGTTATTATTAATAACTTTTGCCCTCATCATGCAAACTTTTATGATTTTCATAATGTTCTTACCAGATTCCAATTCATATTGTAATTTTTTTTGAGGAGGCCCGGATTCTTTATTCTTCCTTTTTTTTTGAACTCTTGCTTTTTTTTGAGCACTTTTTTTTCGATCATTTTTTTAATTTTTAACTTTTATAAAAAAAATATAATCATTAGACATATGTTATAAAACATTACAAGTGAAACTATTAACTCTTACACATTTCTCGCGAATTATTTCGAAATTTTTTGAATTTTCAATACAAAACCGTAAGTGGTTATTTGTTCGCTCCTTTTTAAGCTATAATAAAAAATATACATATTAATTTTATAAAGAATAACACCAACCCATCTATATAACAAAGCAAAGTTAGAAAAATTACTTAACTTTTTGAATGATCTTGTTATTTGGATTTTTTTGTTGAGCCATTTCTAAAAATCTTTTTCTTAGTATAGAATTTTGGTTGTCCATTTGTGTTCACCAACAGCAGTTAAAAAGTTTAATACTTGGTTATTTTGATATAAAAATTTGTTGTATTGCCAACAAATCTTGTTAAATAAAACCAATAATAATGATACAAATATAGAAACCTACACACCTTCGTCCACTTGATGAGACATTTTAAGACTTTAAAGCGCGAAAATATCGTAACGATAATGTCGTGGGAAGGAAATAGAACTTCACTGGTCTTAAATACCGATAAGATTGCAATTCAGTGTAACATAAAAATTAAACCGAAATTCAGAAATTAATCTAATAAATTATCTGGGTTAAAAATTCTTTTCTCGTGCAATTTAGCTGTACCATACCCTAAAACTTATTCCTGAACTCTAATATAATGAGATTTTTATTTTTCAATGCTATTTGTTTTTTTAAACGCGAAAATAGATTCTATCGCTATTAGTCGTAATTATCAGTTATTAATTACTTACATCATAACGATAAAATTTTGCAATTTCATGTAACCTGAACATCTAAGGCCATACAAATTTAATTACTTGGTTTTCATAACATGAAACTTTTAAATAGACCCGGCCGGCCGGCTTTTTTT